GGCGGGGGTGGGGCACCCCGGCGGCGGGGGTCCGGGGGTCGAACCCCTACCCCGGCTTTGCCCCCGGGGGCCCCCGCCTGACAACCCTACTCTTAACCCATTGCACCATTATTGTTGTGACCTGTGTTTCCGGATTAAGAATCCCCAGCCCCCCTTTGTTTTTAGGTTGGATCACCGATGACCAAGCTACCCTGCTGATGACGTTCGTGAGCTCACCATTGGCTCGCCACAGCAGTGTCGTTACCTGATGCTTTAGAGATCGGATGACTGCCTTACTAAGAGCCCAGATTGTTGATTTGTACCAAAGGGCCGCCAACACCACACTGTCAATTGCCAACACTCTACCAAATAGGGAGGTGTGTTGGTCCTTCCAGCGGGCTAACTTTTCTAGAGCGGGTTTCAGTATCCAATCATCGTTCGATGTCGGCCTACCTAGTCCTGTTAGCATGATTCCAAGTACCCTAACCGAGGCCTCTTCGGGGAGCCACTTAACCCGGGGAAGGGTTGCATTCTTTGACAATGAATCCCTCAACCCAAAGTTTTATTTCCCCAGTTAACAGTCATGTATGAGATCGCAGAGAATCGGTCAAATAGTCTTCTGATCTCGTCCATGTTCGCTGTTGTGGCATCTACCATAATTGTCAAGTCATCTGCGAACAGCGAACATATGGGGATTGCGTCGTCAGGGATGGCTGAGATCTGCAGCTTCCGAAGGTTTTTGTTGGCGCGAAGGTTCGCTGCCAATGCCTCCATCACAACCCCTTGTCTGACTGACCGTTGCAGCGGGAAGGCCGACGCCACCCTGCTATTGACTTGGACACACATAGTGGCGTTATAATGCAACGCCGAAAAACAGGTCCAATGTTCATTTTTTCAATGCATCTGTCTAAAAATTGTTAGTTTACGTGATCGTAGGCTTTTTCGAAATCGATAAAGACAACAACCGCGTTCTGTTTAAGAGTCTTGTGAGTTTGAGGAGTTCATTGACTAATAGGATATTGTTGTGGATCCTACGCCCTTTGACGAATCCAGTATGTGTGGGGTGAATGATATCGTCCACGATTGGAATCAGGCGGTTTGCCGAGGCTTTTGCTAACATTTTATACACCACCGTCAGCAACGTTATTGGTCTATAGTTCCTTATGTCCATCTTGTCCCCCTTTTTTAACAGGAGGGTGAAAACTCCCTGTCCCACCAGCTCGCTCATCTGCCCTGTATCCCACACCTGATTATAGAAGTCCATTAGGTCCGGGGCCATATGAGTCCAAAAGGTCTCCCAGAACTCTTTAGGGAGCTCATCTATGCCCGACGTCTTCAAGTTCTCCTCATCCATTTGCATCATCGTCGTCCAAATTTCTTCCTTGGACAGGGGGCGATCTAGATCTGTTTTCTGCTGGCCCGTCAACTTAAGAGGTTTCTGGAATTCTTTGATTTCT